AAGGGTACGCCCTTTTGTGTAAGCGAGGTAAGTGGCTTTGCTGTTTTGGAGAAGTTTTGAATGAATCTCCTGTAGTAGCCTGCGAGGCCTAGAAATTGGCGAATTTCCGTGGGTGTTGTTGGAATTGCCCACCCTTCGATGGCTTGGATCTTAGAAGGATCCACATGAATTCCTTCCTGACTAACAACATGTCCCAAAAAGTTCACACTTCGGAGCCAAAACTCGCACTTAGAGAGTTTTGCATACAACTTTTCGGTCCGCAGGGTTTCCAGGATTTGTCGGAGATGTCGGCCGTGTTCTTCCTCGCTTCGAGAATAGACGAGGATGTCGTCGATGAAAACGATGACAAAGTTATCGAGAAATGGTCGGCAGATTCGATTCATTAGGTCCATGAATGCGGCAGGAGCATTCGTTAGACCGAAGGGCATTACAACAAATTCATAATGTTTGTAACGAGTTCGGAAGGCGGTTTTTGGAATATCCTTGGAGCTAGTCAAACAGATCGCAAATCTATCTTTGAGAAGTAACTAGCTCCTTGGAGCTAGTCAAATAGATCGTCGATTCGCGGAAGTGGATAGCGGTTTTTGATGGTAAGCTTATTAAGTTCTCTGTAGTCGATACACATCCTGAAGGTACCGTCTTTCTTTTTGACAAAGAGAACCGGAGCTCCCCAAGGTGAGAAGCTGGGTCGGATGAATCCTTTGTCCAAAAGCTCCTTGAGTTGACTGGACAACTCTTGCATCTCCGCAGGAGCCAATCTGTAGGGTGATTTGGCGATGGGAGTAGCTCCTGGCACTAGGTCAATTCGGAACTCGACTTGTCTTTCTGGGGGTATCCCCGGAAGATCCTCCGGAAAGACATCCGGGAAATCACAAGCCACAGGGATGTTTCGAATATTGATCTCTTCTTTGGACTTATCCACTATATGAGCTAGAAACGTCAAGTCCTTCTTTCGTAGGTACTTTTGTGCCTTAATGCACGAGATGAGACGAAGGTTCGTGCTGGGTTTGTCTCCGTAAATAACTAGGGTTTCGTGATTTGGGAGATGAAGGCGAACGACCTTCTCGTGACACATAATTTCAGCATGGTGGGGGCTTAACCAATCCATGCCGATAATCACATCAAAACTCCTAATGGAAACATGCATTAAGTTTATTGGAAAGACGTGATGATTTAAAGTCAGGGTACATCCGATGTAGATTTCCCCAGTGGATTCTGTTTTCCCATTAGCCATTTCCACCGTGAAGGTTTCATTAAGCTTCTGGGGTTGTTGTTTCAATAAGTGTTTGAATTTATTGCTCACAAAACTTCGTTCTGCCCCGGTATCAAATAGGATGCATGCATAAGTGTGGTTTAGGAGAAACGTACCGGTAACAACAGCGGGATCCTGAACCGCTTCTCCTTGACCCATTGCTAACACCCTTCCCGTTCCTCCGTTCCCAGGGTTGTTGGTGTTGGGGCATTGCGACGGATATGCCCAGTCTTTCCACATCCATAGCAGGTGGGGCTTGATCCTGTGTTATTGCAGCTATTGTTGGTGTTGTTGTTGTTGTTGTTGTTGTTGCGGCTATTGTTGTTGTTGTTTCCTTCTGGTTGGTTCTGGGGTGGATAGGTCCTGCAATACCTTGTCGTGTGACCCTTCCGATTGCAACTGGTGCATTGCATTTCCTTGCATTCGCCATTATGATGGAGACTGCACTTGTTGCACTTTGGGAGATTCCCATAATACTGCCTAGGAGCGCTTGGATTAGCTGAGGCTGGAGCATGTGGTGTGAAGGGTACTTGGGTGGTTACAGCGTTGACTGTCACTGTTTGTTGCTTCTTTGTCGACTCCGAGCCTTGTCGCCCTTTTCTCTTGTTGTTCATTCCCTTCTTGTTGTCACTCTCCTTCTTGCCTTCAATTTCTGCTGGCTTCTCGCCCTTTTTGTTGTTGTGGTCGTACAGTTTCTTGGCCAACCTCTTGGCATTGTCGAAGGTTTCAGGATTTGCAGCGATTACATTTCCTTGAATTGGGGAGGTCAATCCCCAGATGAATCGTTCGATTTTCTTTCCTTCTGACGTAATCATGCCAGGGCACAACAATGACAGTTCGCTAAATCTTGATATGTATGCATCAATATCAGAGTTTCGGATGGTGAGATCCCACAGCTCTTGCTCCATCTTCTGGATTTCGCCACGGGGGCAGTACTCAGCCATCAACATTTCTTTCAGCTCCGTCCATGGCATAGCGTTGGCTACAGGGAGTGTCAGGGCTTCTATGTGTCCATTCCACCAGGTGAGAGCCTGGTCGACAAACGTGCACGCGACAAACTTCACTTTTACCTCCTCGGGACATTCACAGATTTCGAATACTGATTCCACTTTTCCACCCATCTCTTCAGGTTATCACTCCACCCGTGCCATTAAAGGTTCGGGGTTTGGCGTTGGTGAAGTCCTTGTAGGAACATGTTCTGGTAGGTCCGTGATTTGTTCCATTGTTCGAACTCCCAGCCCCTTGTCCATTGACTCCACCATTGTTCCCTTGTTGGATTTGTGCCATGGCTGCAGTAACTGCAGCAGATACAACTGCTTGGAATGCAGCTGAGTCGACTTCGGGTGGGGTTGGTCCAGGGTTTCCACGAGTTGGTCGTTGAGGCATCTTTCTGTCATGGAACGGAAAGATGTTGAGTGCCTATAGTTTTGTGAAATTGTGGTCCTAAAAAGAAACTAGGTGTTTTGCATAAACTTAAGTAGTTTCACAAATTAGCATACAATCATGTATATATAGCACATAGCAAATCACAACATCACAATAGAACACATAGAACTTTTCATTAATATTATCCGCATTTTTGATACATGAAAATTTTGCTCGGAAGAGCATACATAAGTAGTGCAAGTTCGGCAGCATAACGGCTCTATGAGTAGTGTAATCACTTAAACATAGAGTCGATGGTACATAGCATAGATCACATAAGCCTAGTACTAAAGATAGTTATGACTAGTCCTAGTCATGGTGGGATGCGCCAGGGGGTGGTGCTGATGAAGTAGACGCTCCCTGAAGGTGATCCACCTGTCGTTCCGCATCTCGGAGGCGAGTCTCCCATCTCACCTGCCTCATGTGGAACTCCCGAATAACCTCTCGTGTCTCCTGCTCTGCACGCTCAACCCTAGTCCGCATCTGGTGTATCTGATCAGCGGTGCTCTGCGCCAGGTCGCTAGTGTTCCGCAGTCGTCTCACCATGACCGGAAGTGCGCGATCAGCGGGTCCTCCCTCCCTCAAGTCGTAGAACTCGCGTGACATGCCGAATAGAGGTCGTTGTCCCTGCTGTCTGCTCCATCTCCAAAGGTCGATACCCCAGGGGGTGTAGGGCCGGTCGAGCCCATCCGGTGAGCGGGCACCCTAGTCGGGTAAGGGGGATTGATGACTTCGGACTCTGTGTCCGAATCATCATCGCTGGGTTCTTCCTCGAAGTCTTCCCCGACTTATCCTTCTTCCTGGACCTCTATTGGCTCGGCAGGTCCGCCCTCGACTTCCTCCTCAGGTTCCTCTTCAGACCCTTCCTCGGGGTCTTCCTCGGGTTCCTCCTCCAGCCATCCGTTATTTCCCTGATTGGGGAAATACGGATCTCCGGGGTGATGGAAGCCGGCCATACTGTCTGCGAGAGTATATAAATGTACTATTCATTATTTCTAAGATGTTTTAGTTACTACGTAATTTGAGTTAATGTTCTTTTCTTGGAAATCAAGGGTATGTTTTTAAGTTTACTGACCATCGAGGCTTTCTCGGAGCCTGTGATAGTTGCACTTCGGAGAAAATGTAGTTGATCAGGCTACACTCACCCCTTACTACAACCATGAACAGTCATGACTTAACCGAGATGTCAGTGTTATTTGTTTGATTTAGTATTATGTCTTTTCCTAATTCACATAAGCAAAGATGTTTTATCGTTGTGTTTTATTTGTTTTGTTCAGAGTTGTTTTAGTCCCTCTTTTGGTTTATAGTTGCATATCAATGTGTGGTTAGATATGCTAGTTCACTATACCTCTCTGTCCATGATTTCCACTGGTTCTTCGGTGAACAGAAGATTCTCATTGATTTCAATTTCTTCTAATGGGATGACGAGAGTCTCGTCGGATAAGCAGTTTTTCAAATTGGAAATGTGGAACACAGGGTGTACACTGCTGAGCTCAGCGGGTAGCTGCAGTCAATAAGCCACTGGACCGATTCGGGCAAGAATCTCGAAGGGTCCAATGTATCGAGGGTTCAGTTTGCCCCGCTTCCCAAAACGAATCACTCCTTTCCAAGGAGAGACTTTTAGTAACACCCTATCTCCGACTCTGAATTCCAAGGGCTTTCGTCGTTTATCGGCGTAGCTCTTTTGCCTGTCTCGTGATGATTGCAGTCGAGCCCTGATCTGAATTATCTTCTCGGTCGTCTTGCGTATGATTTTCCGGTCCCGTTAAGGCATTGTTTGGCGTTTTCCCTCTTGCTAGCTGGATGTCTCCTACCTCTGCCCAGCACAGTGGTGATCTACATTTACGCCCGTATAATGCTTCGAAAGGAGCGACTTTGATACTCGAGTGATAACTGTTGTTATATGAGAACTCGATCAAAGGCAAGTGGGTATCCCACGATTTTCCAAAGTCTATCACACATGCGCGAAGCATATCTTCTAGTGTTTGAATGGTTCGCTCGCTTTGACCATCTGTCTGTGGGTGGTAGGTAGTGCTTATGTCAAGTTGCGTTCCCATAGCTTTCTGAAGCAATTGCCAAAAGCGTGAAGTAAATCTACTATCTCTATCTGAGATGATAGTTACGGGTACTCCGTGGAGTCTCACGATTTCTTTGATGTAGATTCTTGTCAGGCGCTCCATCTTGTATGATTCTTTTATTGGTAGGAAATGGGCGGATTTCGTTAATCTATCAACTATTACCCAGATCGTGTCCAAACCATCCGTCGACTTGGGTAGTTTGGTCACAAAATCCATGGTAACCCTTTCCCATTTCCATTCCGGAGTTACTGGTTGCTGTAGTAATCCGGAGGGCTTCTGATATCCACCTTTACTTTAGCACAAGTGAGGCACTTGCTAATGTAAGTGGCAATCTCTGCCTTCATATTAGGCCACCAATAATGTTGCTTAACATCCAAGTACATTTTGTCTGAACCTGGATGGATGGAGTATCGCGTCTTGTGGGCTTCGTTCATGACTACCTCTCTGAATCCCCCAAGTTTAGGGACCCAGATGCGGTTCATGAAGTAATTTGTTCCGTCTCCCTTCACTTCAAAGTTCTTCTCCATTCCACGCAGCGCTTCGCTTGTTTTGTTTTCTGTCTTCATGACATCGAGCTGGGCTGCCCGGATTTGAGAGGTTAGGTGGGATCGAATGGTTATGGAGAGAGTCTTCAAACGACGATTCGAGTATTCTTTCCGACTCAAGGCATCGGCTACTACGTTAGCCTTGCCTGGGTGGTACTTGATTTCGCACTCGTAGCCGTTTAGCAGCTCGACCCATCTTCGTTGCCTCATGTTTAGCTCTTTTTGATTCAAGATGTGCTGGAGACTCTTGTGGTCGGTGAAGATGGTGCACTTAGTACCGTAAAGGTAGTGCCTCCAAATCTTCAGGGCGAAGACCACTGCTCCCAGTTCCAAATCATGAGTGGTGTAATTTACCTCGTGCGTCTTTAGTTGCCGGGACGCGTAGGCTATCACCTTTCCACGCTGCATGAGTACACAGCCTAAACCCTGATTTGACGCATCGCAGTAAACTATAAAGTCTTCTGTTCCTTCAGGTAGCGATAACACCGGCGCACTGCAGAGTGCTTGCTTCAGAGATCGAAATGCAGCTTCTTGCTTGTCCGTCCATACGAAGGGTACGCCCTTTTGTGTAAGCGAGGTAAGTGGCTTTGCTGTTTTGGAGAAGTTTTGAATGAATCTCCTGTAGTAGCATGCGAGGCCTAGAAATTGGCGAATTTCCGTGGGTGTTGTTGGAATTGCCCACCCTTTGATGGCTTGGATCTTAGAAGGATCCACATGAATTCCTTCCTGACTAACAACATGTCCCAAAAAGTTCACACTTCGGAGCCAAAACTCGCACTTAGAGAGTTTTGCATACAACTTTTCGGTCCGCAGGGTTTCCAGGATTTGTCGGAGATGTCGGCCGTGTTCTTCCTCGCTTCGAGAATAGACGAGGATGTCGTCGATGAAAACGATGACAAAGTTATTGAGAAATGGTCGGCAGATTCGATTCATTAGGTCCATGAATGCGGCAGGAGCATTCGTTAGACCGAAGGGCATTACAACAAATTCATAATGTTTGTAACGAGTTCGGAAGGCGGTTTTTGGAATATCCTCCTCCCGGACTTTGAGTTGGTGGTATCCAGATCGCAAATCTATCTTTGAGAAGTAACTAGCTCCTTGGAGCTAGTCAAATAGATCGTCGATTCGCGGAAGTGGATAGCGGTTTTTGATGGTAAGCTTATTAAGTTCTCTGTAGTCGATACTCATCCTGAAGGTACCGTCTTTCTTTTTGACAAAGAGAACCGGAGCTCCCCAAGGTGAGAAGCTGGGTCGGATGAATCCTTTGTCCAAAAGCTCCTTGAGTTGACTGGACAACTCTTGCATCTCCGCAGGAGCCAATCTGTAGGGTGATTTGGCGATGGGAGTAGCTCCTGGCACTAGGTCAATTCGGAACTCGACTTGTCTTTCTGGGGGTATCCCCGGAAGATCCTCCGGAAAGACATCCGGGAAATCACAAGCCACAGGGATGTTTCGAATATTGATCTCTTCTTTGGACTTATCCACTATATGAGCTAGAAACGTCAAGTCCTTCTTTCGTAGGTACTTTTGTGCCTTAATGCACGAGATGAGACGAAGGTTCGTGCTGGGTTTGTCTCCGTAAATAACTAGGGATTCGTGATTTGGGAGATGAAGGCGAACGACCTTCTCGTGACACATAATTTCAGCATGGTGGGGGCTTAACCAATCCATGCCGATAATCACATCAAAACTCCTAATGGAAACATGCATTAAGTTTATTGGAAAGACGTGATGATTTAAAGTCAGGGTACATCCGATGTAGATTTCCCCAGTGGATTCTGTTTTCCCATTAGCCATTTCCACCGTGAAGGTTTCATTAAGCTTCTGGGGTTGTTGTTTCAATAAGTGTTTGAATTTATTGCTCACAAAACTTCGTTCTGCCCCGGTATCAAATAGGATGCATGCATAAGTGTGGTTTAGGAGAAACGTACCGGTAACAACAGCGGGATCCTGAACCGCTTCTCCTTGACCCATTGCTAACACCCTTCCCGTTCCTCCGTTCCCAGGGTTGTTGGTGTTGGGGCAATTGCGACGGATATGCCCAGTCTTTCCACATCCATAGCAGCTGGGGCTTGATCCTGTGTTATTGCAGCTATTGTTGGTGTTGTTGTTGTTGTTGTTGTTGTTGCGGCTATTGTTGTTGTTGTTTCCTTCTGGTTGGTTCTGGGGTGGATAGGTCCTGCAATACCTTGTCGTGTGACCCTTCCGATTGCAACTGGTGCATTGCATTTCCTTGCATTCACCATTATGATGGAGACTGCACTTGTTGCACTTTGGGAGATTCCCATAATACTGCCTAGGAGCGCTTGGATTAGCTGAGGCTGGAGCATGTGGTGTGAAGGGTACTTGGGTGGTTACAGCGTTGACTGTCACTGTTTGTTGCTTCTTTGTCGACTCCGAGCCTTGTCGCCCTTTTCTCTTGTTGTTCATTCCCTTCTTGTTGTCACTCTCCTTCTTGCCTTCAATTTCTGCTGGCTTCTCGCCCTTTTTGTTGTTGTGGTCGTACAGTTTCTTGGCCAACCTCTTGGCATTGTCGAAGGTTTCAGGATTTGCAGCGATTACATTTCCTTGAATTGGGGAGGTCAATCCCCAGATGAATCGTTCGATTTTCTTTCCTTCTGACGTAATCATGCCAGGGCACAACAATGACAGTTCGCTAAATCTTGATATGTATGCATCAATATCAGAGTTTCGGATGGTGAGATCCCACAGCTCTTGCTCCATCTTCTGGATTTCGCCACGGGGGCAGTACTCAGCCATCAACATTTCTTTCAGCTCCGTCCATGGCATAGCGTTGGCTACAGGGAGTGTCAGGGCTTCTATGTGTCCATTCCACCAGGTGAGAGCCTGGTCGACAAACGTGCACGCGACAAACTTCACTTTTACCTCCTCGGGACATTCACAGATTTCGAATACTGATTCCACCTTTTCCACCTATCTCTTCAAGGTTATCACTCCACCCGTGCCATTAAAGGTTCGGGGTTTGGCGTTGGTGAAGTCCTTGTAGGAACATGTTCTGGTAGGTCCGTGATTTGTTCCATTGTTCGAACTCCCAGCCCCTTGTCCATTGACTCCACCATTGTTCCCTTGTTGGATTTGTGCCATGGCTGCAGTAACTGCAGCAGATACAACTGCTTGGAATGCAGCTGAGTCGACTTCGGGTGGGGTTGGTCCAGGGTTTCCACGAGTTGGTCGTTGAGGCATCTTTCTGTCATGGAACGGAAAGATGTTGAGTGCCTATAGTTTTGGTGAAATTGTGGTCCTAAAAAGAAACTAGGTGTTTTGCATAAACTTAAGTAGTTTCACAAATTAGCATACAATCATGTATATATAGCACATAGCAAATCACAACATCACAATAGAACACATAGAACTTTTCATTAATATTATCCGCATTTTTGATACATGAAAATTTTGCTCGGAAGAGCATACATAAGTAGTGCAAGTTCGGCAGCATAACGGCTCTATGAGTAGTGTAATCACTTAAACATAGAGTCGATGGTACATAGCATAGATCACATAAGCCTAGTACTAAAGATAGTTATGACTAGTCCTAGTCATGGTGGGATGCGCCAGGGGGTGGTGCTGATGAAGTAGACGCTCCCTGAAGGTGATCCACCTGTCGTTCCGCATCTCGGAGGCGAGTCTCCCATCTCACCTGCCTCATGTGGAACTCCCGAATAACCTCTCGTGTCTCCTGCTCTGCACGCTCAACCCTAGTCCGCATCTGGTGTATCTGATCAGCGGTGCTCTGCGCCAGGTCGCTAGTGTTCCGCAGTCGTCTCACCATGACCGGAAGTGCGCGATCAGCGGGTCCTCCCTCCCTCAAGTCGTAGAACTCGCGTGACATGCCGAATAGAGGTCGTTGTCCCTGCTGTCTGCTCCATCTCCAAAGGTCGATACCCCAGGGGGTGTAGGGCCGGTCGAGCCCATCCGGTGAGCGGGCACCCTAGTCGGGTAAGGGGGATTGATGACTTCGGACTCTGTGTCCGAATCATCATCGCTGGGTTCTTCCTCGAAGTCTTCCCCGACTTATCCTTCTTCCTGGACCTCTATTGGCTCGGCAGGTCCGCCCTCGACTTCTTCCTCAGGTTCCTCTTCAGACCCTTCCTCGGGGTCTTCCTCGGGTTCCTCCTCCAGCCATCCGTTATTTCCCTGATTGGGGAAATACGGATCTCCGGGGTGATGGAAGCCGGCCATACTGTCTGCGAGAGTATATAAATGTACTATTCATTATTTCTAAGATGTTTTAGTTACTACGTAATTTGAGTTAATGTTCTTTTCTTGGAAATCAAGGGTATGTTTTTAAGTTTACTGACCATCGAGGCTTTCTCGGAGCCTGTGATAGTTGCACTTCGGAGAAAATGTAGTTGATCAGGCTACACTCACCCCTTACTACAACCATGAACAGTCATGACTTAACCGAGATGTCAGTGTTATTTTGTTTGATTTAGTATTATGTTCTTTTTCCTAATTCACATAAGCAAAGATGTTTTATCGTTGTGTTTTATTTGTTTTGTTCAGAGTTGTTTTAGTCCCTCTTTTGGTTTATAGTTGCATATCAATGTGTGGTTAGATATGCTAGTTCACTATACAATCATATAACATACATACTGCCGGGCAATTTTGGAGTGCCCGACCTACCCGGTACGGCCATTCTGGGGTGCCGACCTACCCGTACGGCCATTCTGGGGTGCCGACCTATCCATGTCAAGCCATTCTGGGGTGCTGACCCACCCGTGTCGAGCCATTCTGGGGTGCTGACCTACCCGTGTCAAGCCGTTCTGGGGTGCTGACCTACCCATCGGTCCTAACAACCGAACCTCGGGGACTATTCCACCCCTTATTGCTACTATCACATATATCATAGCACAAACATGCTATCAGACATATCTGGGGTGTCCGAACTACCCCTCGGTCTTAACAACCGAACTTGGGGACTATTCCCTTCCTACTACCACGATCACATATAACATATCATGCCAGCATATCAACATATCATCACATACTCTCAGACATATCTGGGGTGCCTGACCTACCCTTCGGTCCTAACAACCGAACTCTACTACTATCACATATAACATATCATGCTAGCATATAACAGATCAGGTAGTAGAAAACCTGGATGATATCACAAAGACAATCATCCATCATACAACTCCTACTGGTGGGCCGACATTGTGGCCATAGACCCACCGCTACTGGAAGGTAACTCACCTCGTACGAGTAGCTGCTGATAATCTGAGCGGGAAATCTCTGTCTACTGCTGCTCCGGAAATCCTCCGGCTATAATCCCCACAAAACACTCAGTCAGAAACTGATATCTACTCTTGGGTAAAATGACTATTTTACCCCTGACCAAGTCCAAGTCAAAGTCAAAGTCAAAATCAACTTCCAGTTGACCTGACTCGCCGAGTTGGGCCGCCAACTCGTCGAGTCCCTAACCTTTTAACTGTCCTCATCCACGTCTCTACTCGTCGAGTTTAGAAATGACTCGACGAGTTCTCCTTATATACGAGCATCGAATGAACCTTCATCCGACTCGTCGAGTTGTATGAACAACTCGTCGAGTTCATCCTCATCCTAAAAACCAGTCCTGTCCTCGTGTCACACCCCCGAAACCAGACGGCGGAAACGTCCGGGGGCTCGCGTGACTTAAATTGAATACCATCACAATGAATATACATGAATCATAACATAAACATCACCATGCATCAATACATTACAACTGATATTGTTTACATCCAGTACATTGTTATCAAATATTACACATTCGTAACACAAATTGTTTCAAAGTTTTCAATACAAAACATTCTAACATACTTGGTATTACCCTTCCGCTTATCTGTTACCTGAGAATACAAGTTATTTTGGAAAACGTCAACATATGGAACGTTGGTGAGTTCATAAGCATAGTTGTGAATAAAATGATTTGTATAGTTTGTAAAACCCAGAAAATCCGATATTTTCTGAAAAGACATTAGTTTATCAAAGTGTGAAGATCCATAAGTTTGATGCATGAATGATTTCAAACATATATATATATATATATATATATATATATATATATAATATATATTATATAATATATATATATATATATATCTATAGAGGGTGTTTTGTAATATCGTTTGGAATTTTCGAATGAATAGTATTGATTTCCCCCAGAAAACCCGATGTTTTCCGATGTCGAAAGATATAAGTGATTACTAACTTTTGTACCGTCATATCGAATGACTATTGATTACTCCACCTTGATTACTGTTGAATAACGTCCTAATTCCGTCTACTTTGATTACTCATAAGCCTTAGCGAACGAAGAGAAGAGGAGCACTATGTCCTACTACTATCGTAAGTACCTTAGGCTGTCGGGGATGCGAAAGACACGATGGTCCAACTCGCATTTGAATACTTTGACCTTACTAGCTTTACTAATGGGCCACTAGGGCCCTATAGCACATAAAAGCTATTGAAAGTCCTTTTATAAAAATATTGGGTCATAGAAGGCCCAATAACATATAAGCGTTATCCCTTTGGGCCCAAAGATCATGTTGATGGACTTGCAAGATCCAACAAGCATGATTTGAAACTCTCAAGCCCAAAGTTTGTATATCTACTCATCTTAGGTATCGCGTATCTATTGAAGGGTTTGATTTAACGTTTGTTGGTTTGGTATCCATTCGAGACCGATCGATTCGTTTATCACGATATTTGGAGTTAAACGTGTAATTGTCTTTCGATTTGTCGGTAGTCGTGATTTTGTATTTTGACTTAATGAAATAGTTTTTGTTTAAAAGTAGGGATTTGACCTTTTCACTACGTTTCTTTTTATAAAAATAACAATTTTAGTCTTTTAAAATAAAAGAATTGCATTTTTAGTCCTTAAAACCTTTTCTTGACACTTTTGCATCATAAATTTATTGAAATGATAGTTTTAAAAACCCAAAAGTGATTTTGTTAACAGATTTAGCCCTTCCAGAATGGTATTTCTCGTTAAAACCCTATTTTTCGCAATTTTTACAGTTTTGGCCCAAAATCCAAAAACTTTACATTTTTGATCTTTTTGGATATGAAAAGCATTTTGACCCTTGAAATGGTTTTGTTACACTTTTTATCCCTGTTTTGAATAAAGTTTCATTTCAGCCCCTTTAGTTGTCATTTTTCGCAATTTTGGGCTTATTGGGCCAAAAAGCCCAAAATTAGCCCATTAAGCTAAAAATTTACATTTCAAGTCCTTTGAAAATTTTAATATTCAGAAAAAAAACAATTATGGAAATTGTTTTGACTCTTTTGGCCCTTAAGAAACCGTGACTTGACAATTTTTAACCCAAGTTTTGTATTTTTGACAATTTAAAGCCCAAAAATGGGTTTTATGTTGGAAATATGTTCATCATAATCTTATAAGTTATTATCCTTGACTTGTTTAGTGTAAAATAACTTAGATCATGTTTGTTTCCTTTCTCATGTCATAGATCTCGAGTATCACCCCTTTTTAGTTACATGTTCATCATAAAAACACATAAAAACACACATACATGCATAAAATCACACATAGCATACACATACACATAGATCTACACATTTTCTTGTATTCTCCCCCATAAAACACATAAAAACCGAAAAGAGAGGGGTATGAAGCTCACCTTGAGTTGTGGTTTCGGTTTTGAAGAGAGAAATGAAGAAAGTTTCGATCCTAGCAAGTCTTATTGGAAGATCTCGAATTTAGAGGCTTCTAAGATGCAAGATCACAAGTTTGAATAGATTTAGAAGAGATTTTTGATGAAATGAAGTAGCTAGATCATGGATCCAAGTAATATCTTACCTTAGATGATGTATTTGTGGAATAATCTCCTTGAAAGCTTCCTAAATCTCGAAAATTTGGTGGAGAGTGGAGAGAGTTTCCTTGAGAGATTTTAAGTGAATTGTGTGTGTGTTTGTGTTGTGTTCGGCCGAGAGAAGAAGAGAGAGGAAAAAGAGAAGTGAGTGAAGAGATGGTTGTTTGGATACATGAGCTATTTGCATGGAGAACCAAGAAATAATGGTGAGGTGGCAAGTACAAAAGTCAACTCCTTCTATTTTGGGTTGTTGGGCCGAGAAAAGGAGAGGGGAAAGAAAGAATATTGGGCTTTTTGCTCTTAAGCCCATCTTATGATTCACTTAGATGATTTTCGGCCCAATTAAATCAAAGAATTATTTTTATGACC